GTTTGGGGAGCAAGGACTGCGTGCTTTATATACGTAATTCCCAGAACCACCAGAATGGGTAGGTATCTTGAAGCTACTCAAGAGTTTGTTGAAAGAGTAGTGAGCTATCTGGCAAGTGAATGAGTAAATTAACAAGCAAGCAACTGTGGCCCTGAAATTCTGACTCACACCCAGATTTGCTACTTGTAGCAGAGCAAGTTATGTAACACATCTCGGTTGCTGCAGTTAAATGTGAAAATCTGATTCACAGCGAGTCTGATAGAGTACATAAGGATGGCCAATGCATGGCACAAAATCACAATTAACCACAGCACTCTTTGTCACTGAGCTCATAGCGTGATCTCAGAAGGCCTGTCTATATAGGTCATACCTACTGACAAATAATAGCTTTCTGTTCACAGGTGCAACTTCACCTCTAAGATTCTATTCAGGGCTAAGACGCCAAGACTTTTTAAGTACTAGATTCATTCAACACTGCTATTCACTTGCCTTAGACACACCTTTTCTTTTTTTCTGCTACATCAGAAAAAGGAAAAGAGAAAATCATAAAAGAAAACTGATCCAGGCTATCAGCTGATAACAAATGTTAACCGCCCCCCCTCCAAAAGCCAATGAGACTAGCAATACAGTAGAATGCACCTGGGAAGTTAATATAAAGAACTCCTACAAATTAGTAAGAAAAGTCACAGCACAGAAATAAGTAATTCACAAAAGAATATAGATGGCCATATACAAGAAAAAAATTTCTGCTTCATTAATAAAATAAATACAAAATAAAACGAGATGCCTTTTATATATCAAATGGCAAAGATTTTTTGTTTAATTTTAATGCTCTGTACTGATAAAGATGGGGCAAATAATTCCACTAATGACCTTGCTGGAGAGAATATACATTGGTAAAGTCTTTCTGGAAGCAATTTAAAAACACTTCAAAAAGCATGCTTATCCTTTCTGATCTAATAATTTTACATCTAGAAATTAATCCTAAGGAAATGACCAGGATATACACCAGAATGTTCATTACATGGTTGCTTACATTATAAAAAATTGGAGAGAGAAAACTTTAATGTCAAATGATAGGAATATGAGCAAATAAATATATGTACGTACAATTAAATTCTATAAACCCATTACAAGTTTCTATAAAAAAATGACATAGAAAAAATATCCTTAATATTACTTAGTTAGAAAAAAATATCCTTAATGCTATTTAGTTATAAAACAGTATGGTCCCATTTCACAAAATATATTCACACACAGGAAAAAAAGACACCTCAAAATGTTAATAGTTGTTGATTTTAAGTTGTTGACTTTCTTTTTTCTTTTTGTATTTTCCACAATGAATGTTTTTAAGTTTTTATTTTCTTTCTATACATGTGTAGGATTAGCCCAAATAGGAAAAGAACATGTTATCTTCTGGTAGTAGGGAGAAATAGGTATGAATAGGAGCGTTTATAAATGTGAGGATATCAGGCACAAATTCCTTCAGTTTTCTCATTAAAATAGCACGGCCAAGTCAATCCACACTGTAATCTTAGTACTCATTTATGAAACAAACACATGATGCAGAGAGACTGCAGTTTGTTGTTCATGATAAATGATAATGAACTAGGTTTGTTTTGCAGGCATATTTTACATTAGACAAATCTACACATAACAAGCTGTGAGCCCACATTAAATGTAATAGAATCCTGCCTGATCATCTTCATGATGAATGTCATTTATTCTCAAATATAAACTAACAGTGTATCCATACATCCTGAAAATTATTTAGATACTGAAATTCAAATAGCATTAATCGTTAAGGCCAGCTCGAAAAAGAAACAGAAAACACCAACCCAAAGGCTAGGCATTTACTCCGGGACCAAGCACATCACATTATCATACATTTTTACTGAGTTTTTGAAAAATTTGACAATACAATTTAATTCTTAATTTACCAGTTTCAATTTTCAAAATATTGTGAAAAAACATGGACATGGACAACAGTATGGTGATTGCCTGGGGGGGGCGGAGGGGAAGAGGGAATGGGGGAACAAATGGTGACGAATAGAGACTTGACTTGGGGTGTGAACACAATACAGTGTACAGATGATGTGTTGTAAATTGTGCACCTGAAACTTGAATAATTTTGTTAACCAGTGTCACCCCAATAAATTCCATAAAAAGGAAAAAAATAAAAACAGAGGGGGGAAAACAAAACAAAATACTGTGAAACTCTCTTCTTTATAGAGTTGTTAAATTGACACTACATAGGTCAACATTATGATTCGTGGTCAAAGTCTAGTTAGACCGCATCATCAGAACATTATATTTATCATCAAATATTTTCAGCATTATAAATAAAAAGGTCAACATGAGAATTTCATGTTTTTGTTTCTTAAAGACCCCTAAAAAACAACACAAAGACTTCACAATTGTTTGTATGATATACAATCACACCTCACTTTTTTTATTATGTTACTATTTCTTACTTTTGTATAAGTTCTCTTTTTCAGAATAGCTTTTCCTTAGATAATAGGAGAGGTGTGTTTTTTTCCTCCAGTTACAGTATTTCTCTCCATGGTTATTATCTTACTAATGGATGTTTTTGATTCTATGGAAAGCTTTTTGGTTGATGCCTCAAACGCTATTTTCACAATTGTTGTTTGTCAAACATTTCTCTTGGTAAGTGACATTTAAATAAAAACAAGGACTGTGCTAATCAAACATAATTTAAGAACACATTATTGGACAATACTGAAAATTTTAACATGAGCATAATTAAGAATCCTTTTGCTTACACTTTCTGACACAGGAGGATTTTCTAATGGAGGCTGGTGATTATTTCTAGCAGAAGCTAAGTCCAATGAACCTACCAAAACAAAGAAATCAATTTTAGTGATTTTCAAATCAGAACACTACATTTAGAAACTGTATAGGCATGACTCAAGAACTATAAACTCCATATTAATGCAAGACCTAAGTTGGAAGCCACTTTTCATGCAAAAAACTTAAGAATAATGAAAGTTTTTACAACTCATAATTTGGAAAATATGGGTCAGTACCGACAATCAAGTGAGAGAAGTATGAAATGTTTTAAAATATATCATTGTACTGTAAGATTTGGACAAGCTGGGGCAGAATCACTTGTCACGAATTAAAATGTACAAAATATAAAAGCCTGATTTAACAGCAGGCATATGATATGCTGTACCCCCCCAAAAGCAGCATTATAAAAAAGCATTTTTTTGTTTTTGCACATATATTCATTAATTTGATCCTTACAATTAATTAATTACCCGTGAAGTGGGTAAACCATATGTCATCTTTAATTTCACTGAGCTCCAGGCAGGTTAAGTGAATTGGAAGGTGGAAGCCATCAAATGTGAGAAGTTGTGCTTTTCTACTATGCCAAACTGGGCATCACAATCCAAACAGAAGGCAAAGTATTTGGTAAAAAGCCTTGGAAGAGGAAAACAAGCTCAGCATACAAGTTAAGTATGCCCGTCACAGATGTGAACTGGAAGAGTGTAAAAAAGCTACACAAGGCCAGGCCCCCGTATGGCTCAGCGGTTGAGCATCGACCTAGGATCCAGGCGACCCAGGCGACTGGGGTTCGATTCCGGTCAGGGCACATGCCCGGTTGTGGGCTTGATCAATGACTCTCTGATCATTGATGTTTCTCTCTCTCTCTCTCTCCCTCCTTTCCTCTCTCTGAAATCAATAAAGGTATTTAAAAAAAAAGGAAAGCCACACAAAGAAAACACACAATAGGAAATGTTAAAGTTTCATTCATTCTATCTACTCCATACTATTCGATGCAGGCTGTGCCGGGCCATTTTCCCAGGGGAAAAGGGTCAGTTCTTGACACCTGTACAAACTAGACGTATCTTACATTTGTGAACTTAAACATTAAAGATCCTCTAAATTTTGAAATACACAAAGAAATGAAAATAAAGACTAACGGAAAGTTGAAAAACTACTGGGAATCACATACCACGTACAGTTCCGTTCAAGCCCGTCCCGGTTCTAAACCCAAGAGGTTGGTTTGCCGACGACGCCGGAGGAACGCGGGGCAGCTCGCCTTTCAGCGAAGCCAAATGATCTCCCCGATGTGGGGAAGCTAACTCACGAAGCCTCTTCGCTGGTATTTTCACCCTTCGTTTCTTTTCCGGGCTAAACGCAGGGCCCTTCATCGTCCCGGCAGCGAAGAAGCGGGGCAGCTCCCGAGGAGAGCTTCCCGCGGGGTCCACGAACCCGAGGCCGGGCAGGCTGCCCGGGAGCGGCGAGCGCGAGTAGACGGAGGGAACGGGAGTTTCAAGCGATTCTGAAACGGGCGGTCACCGACCTTTAAATAAAACAACGTCTAAACAGGCTATTCGCTAAGCTGGAAATTTTAACCTTGGTATTTCATCCAGCATTGGGACCAGAACACCGTTTCTACCCATGAACCCCACTCAGCCTGCTAAGGCACCGCGCAGACGGCGAGGGCACGAGAACGGCTGCGTGAGCAACCACCACCAGAACGGGGCGCTCCCCAGCCCCGAGCGGGCGGGCAAAACCGAGCGGGCGTGGGCGCGGAGCTAACGTTTGCTGGGAAGAGGGAGTCAAGCAGGTGAAAGCCAAATCCGCAACGAACCGGCAATACCAATCGCATATGTTTTTTTTTTTAATTTTCCCCACGTAAGAAGCTTAATAGCACGCTTCAGCCAAGGAGTCTTACGCACCCTTCCAGATGCAACCACCGGCCACCTAAGCTCACCCCTCCGAGGCTCCGGAACGCCTGACAGCCGCACAGCCACAGGGCAATCGCTCGACAGCTGCAGTCGCCCGCCGGTCCGCACCCGCTTCCGGGGAGCCCGCCCTAGAGAGACAACGCGCATGCGCGCCGAGAAATGCCTCCAAAACCTCCAACCAAAAAGCCAAATGCTCCCCGGTGCTCCTCCATCCCTTTCCGGGTGGAAACAAACTCCCAACCTAACTGGCTTAAAACAAGGTGTGAATTTCTGTAAGGCAGTACCTTGCCCCGCAAGGCTTAAACATCGGATAAAACCCGAGAAGCTCATCGAAGACCTGCAGAGCCCCCGAACTAACTGGTACTACCGCTCGCATTTATTAGGGACTGTTTACAGCGTAGCTCCTGGAGACCGTTAGGGACGCCGATTAAGTAAATTAGACTTTCAAAAAGTTCCCGCAGATTCAGGTTACTTAGTGGCGAGGAAGTCAGGAATAGGAAGCACTGTCGAAGGAGAAAAAATCACAAAAATTAATTCTCGAGGGATTTTAGAATTATTGAGTAATATCGGCTTTCTTGCTCTCACGTTCCCCTCGTTGTAACGAATCGGCGTCGTAGGCTCTAAGGGCTGTTTGACACCGCCGCTCCCACGTGTTCTCTGGCCTCCAGCGGCTGCGGCACCCGGCGTGACCCCGACCCTCCGCCCCCGGACTCGACTGGCAGCGCAGCCCCCCACTCTCGCACTGTTTTCGGAAGCGGGAGCCTGTGCTTAAGTATGATCTCTTTTCTCTGCCCTCGGAATCCCGGGTTCCCGGGCGGGGGGCGGCAGGCTACGCTCCGGAGAGGTGGGGGGTCTCAGAATGACGCCGCCGCGTGTTCGTGGGCTGTGGGGGCTGCGGAGCGGGGCAGGGGTCGGGCATCGCCCCCAGAGCGGGTGCGAGACCTGCCTGACGTTCGTGTCCCTGGGGCGCGGTCGTAGTCTGCGGCTCGGGGCCACACCAGGCTGGGTCTGAGCCGTGGGGGTCGCGGTCGGAGGCTGCGGGGGTTGGACTGCGGGGCAGCCGCGCCTTGACCTTGAGCTCACCGGCCGGGACCCTCCTTTAACTGAAAAAGCCCTCCCTTGACCCGAAACCAAGGCCACCACCTTTATCTGAGCTGCTCGTTTTCAAGGACGCACCACTTTGACGTTTCCCTTTGCGCAGTACTAGCGGCTTTAAAAAAAGATTAATCAAAGCAAAAAATAAAATAAAAGTGTAATCTTCTATAAAAGCTAAATAACACATTTAACACACATTTTATCGCTGCTGTCTGCTTTCATAGAAGAAATACTAGAATTAAAAGGGGCCTTAGGGTCTCGGTTTTGGAGAACCTTTTAATTAGTCTTAGCAAGTTCTGTGTTACTCCAGTTCCATTTCCCTCTTCATTGCTGGGCTCGTAGGTGGGTGGCACCCGCTTGTTCACAATTTGTTTCATAATATAGGTGAATTAAAAGATAGAGTGACAACGGCATAGCTGTGAGAGACTTTGGAGATGATTTAACTCCCTTGTTTTCTAAGTGTAACTTAGATGTGAAAGGAAAAGTAACCTTTCCCCTCTAGTCTCTAAAGTGTGACCACAGCCATTCATTAGAACGAGTTGAACTGGACTGAAACCCAAGCAAGCAGTCTTGCCCCCGTCTAGGCCAGTGCTCACAGGATTATCCTTTAAGCCTTGAAGCCAACCTTTAACCCCAAAAGCACTATATAGTAATCTTTCAAAAGAATTTGTTGCTCTGATTAATGAGTTGCCATTTAATCAGACATTAGCTTCCTAAACCTGCTGCAAATAATATAAAGTAAAGGGACATGTGGTAGAGCCCTGTTAAAGCCTAGCAACCAAACAACTTAGTTCAGGTCAATTTAAACATCTGACCTATCAAATAAAAGACATTGATAGCCCTGGAACAAAACACATGGCTCACAGGTCTGTTTTTCCTTTTTATTGTTATTTTATTGTTAACATTTTTACTTATTTCCTGTCTCTTTTTCACTCTCTCTATAGACATAGATACAGTATTTTTTTTGCTGAACCATTTGCAAGTAAGTTGCAGACATGACCTTTAACCCTAATTTCTTCAGCATGAATCAATTTAACAATCTGTTACATAGCCAGGACAAGATTATCACACCTAAAATGATAACATATCCCCAAAATGTCATTTTTAACTCAAAAATGTTTCTTTTTTAATTCAGGATCCAAAGTTCACTTATTGTGTTTAGTTGTCATGACCCTTTAGAGTCCTAATCTAGAACAGCCCTCTACCCCCTTTATGACTTTTTTTTTTAAAGACCAGTCTGATCTTACATATTGTTCCATTTGGTGGGTTTCCCGAATTATTCCCTCATGATGAGTCAGATCATGCATTTTTGACAAGAATACTACACAGGTGATGCTGTGTCTATTGTGTTTGTGATGCTAGGTATAATCATTTGGTTAAGGTGGTGACTGCCGGGTCTTACAATATAGAAAGACAGTTTTCCTTTTGTGATAAGTAACCTGTGGAGATGTTTTGAGATCATGGATATATCCTGATTCTCAGGAACCTATCGCCTAGTGGTTTTATGACCCATTCATGATCCTTGCCTGAATCACAAGATTACCAATGACCAGTACCAATCATGCAAGTACCAGTTAGTGACAGAGGTCAAGGACATCAAAAGAATCATTTGCTTTAACTATTTTAACAGAATTAGAAATTTGGCTCCAGGCCTGGTACAAATCTGCATATGATTCTAAAAAAGAAATGGCAGACATCTCCCCCATCACATCCTAGTTAGTCTGTTAATTTCTTTTTAATATTCAGAAATTTCTGGGAATTGTTCTTCTGTGATGTCTGTTGTTTTTTAATCCTCACCTGAGGATATGTTTTTATTGATTTTAGAGAGAGTGGAAAGGAGGGATGGGGGGGAGAGAGAGAGCCAGAGAGACAGACAGACAGACATCAATTGATTGCCTCCCAAACACACCCCAACTGGGGCTGGGATGGAACCTGCAACCCAGGTACATGCCCTTGACCAGAAATTGAACCTGAGATCCTTTGGTGTGCAGGCCAACGCTCTAACCAGTGAGCAACACCTGCCAGGACTATTATGTATTTTTTAATACATATAACAACATATGCTAAAGATCTGTAACCTCAAATAGATTGAGGAAACTTAATTTCACTTACTGAAAAGGAAGAGGCTTTTTTCGTTCTATATAACATTGTTTCAGGTGTATGTCATAATGATTCTGTATCTGTGTATATTGCGAAATGATCACAATACATCTAAGGAAGAGGCTTTTTAAGAAATGATTTCGCCAACAGAAATTTAGATTTCTCAAATACACTATTAGAGCTTGAAGGGGTCTCCCCAGTCATTGTAATCTCATCATTTTTCAGATAAGAAATCGGGCCTCACTGGAGACATTCAAGCAAAAGTTGGACTACTTTTCCAGAACAGAAAGGAAACTCATGCATCAGAAAAGGTTTGAGCTTGATGACTGATAAGATCTCCCTTTATTCTTAAGTTCCCTGGTTTTATGATATATTTGCTTTGGCACAAAAATAACATTGCTGTCATCATTCCCAAGACCTAAGCCAGGGATTCTGGAACTCTTATCCCTTCCCTCCATCTCCAGGTTTCAGGGATATAATCGAAAGGTAACCCCTCAATGGATGTTTGCCTCTATAATAACAAACATTTGCTCTAATATGTGGAAACTAGGACCAAATACAAAGGCAACCACATTGCTGCTGCCTATTTGCATAATCAGTAATTGGCTTGCCTGCTGGAGTTTGTCAATCAGCATAATTTATGATTAAATAACTGCAAAAGAGAATGCTGAAAGACTAGAAGATACCAAGGTAGCAAGTAAATTTGCAAATCATTCAATCATCTTTAGTATTTTCTAGGAACAGTTGCCTACAATTATGTATACCACAATCTTGAGTACAGGCGTACTTCAGAGATACTGCAAGTTTGGCTCCAGACCACCGCAATAGAGGGAGTCGTAATCTTTTTGCTGGTGGAGGGTCTTGCCTTCAATTTGTAAAAAAAAAATGCAACATCTGTGAAGCACAATAAAGCAAAGAACAATAAAATGAGGTCTTCCTGTGTTGATGACTACAGAGAAGAGCTTTAGAGATTTAGGCAGACAAGAAAATTGCTGGCTGCTAGCTCTGCAGATCAGTTGTAGGTCTGGGAAGATATTTGAAAAATAAAGAAAAAGGAAACCATAATGTTAATATAGTGGTCTTTGAGTAGAACTGTCTCTTTTATTTTCCAAATTCTGAAGACAAAGATTACATTACTTTTATAATATGATAAACTGTTGCATTTTAAGGAAGTATATACTATTAAGAACTGTAAAGGATAATACCAAGGAAATAATTTTAAATAAAGATTCATACCAACACTGTTGGGGCACTCCTCATCTATGTATTGTCAAATAACCATCATTTGTCACCCTGAGTTGTATACTAAGGGGCAGGTGGGATAGTTAGCAGAGTGGTACTGGTCTGCTATTATTTTGTTAAGGATTTATATGTCTATTTTATGAGGGATATTTCTCTCTAGTTTTATGTACTGTCTTTGTCTGGTTTTGATATCAGAATAATAGTAAATTCATTATACTTTTAATGTCTGCAGGGTCCATGGTGATACACAGTTTCATGTCTGATAATGATAATCTCTTTAAAGAACTCTTTGTTTTATTGATTTTTGTCTGTTGCTTTCATGTTTTCATTTTTTTAAATATGTTTTTATTGATTTGAGAGAGGAAGGGAGAGGAAAAGAGAGAGAGAAACATAGATGAAAGAAACATCGATCGGCTGCCTCCTGCACATCCCTACTGGGGATTGAGGCTGCAACCTGGGCATGTGCCCTGACCCAGAATCTAACCTCTCAGTGCATGGGAAGACACTCAGCCAACTGAGTCACACCACTCAGGCCTTATGTTTTCATTTTTGTTGATTTCTGCTCTTTATTATTTCTTTCTACATGCTTTGGGTTTATTTTCCTCTTTTTCTAGGTGCTTTAGTAGGAGCTTAGATTGTTAATCTGAGAGCTTTCTTGTTTTCTCTCTTTTTTCTGTGTTAATCCTCAACCAAGGATATTTTTTCCCATTGATTTTTTTGAGAGAAAGTGGAAGGGAGGGAGGGGAGATAGAGAATCATTGATGTGAGAGAGACACATCAATTGGTTGCCTCCTGCACACTTTCAAGGCCCAGGATGAACCTGCAACCCAGGTTCATGCCCTTGACTGGGAATCAAACCCTCCACCCTTCAGTGAGTGGGGCCCATGCGCTAACCACTGTGAACACCAGCCAGGGTTCTTCTGGTGTATGAATTTAGTGCGATAAATTTTCCTCTTGGCACTGATATAGCTCTGCTAACACAAATTTTGATATGCTGTATTTTCAGTTTCATTCAGTTCAATGATTTTTTTTTCCCCCTTGAGACTTCCTCTTTGACCCATGGATTATTTAGAAGTGTACTGCTTATTTTCCAAACATTTGGAAATTTGTCTGTTCTCTTTCTATTACTCATTTCTAGTTTGATTCATCTGTGGTCAGAGAACATACTTGGTATGATTTCAATTCTTTTAAATTTGTTGAGGCTAGTTTTATGACCCAGGATGTTGGTTCAATGGGCACTTGATAAAAATGTGTATTCTGGCCGGGTGGTGCGGCCGACTGGTTGAGTGTGTTGACCCCGTGCACTAGCAGGTCTTCGGTTCGAGCCCAGGTCAGGGCACATGCCCGGGTGTGGGCTTGATCCCCAGGAGGGGGCGTACAGGAGGCAGATCGATGTGGATGTTGCTCACTCATTGACGTTTCTGTCTCTCCCTCTCCCTTCCTCTCTCTCTAAAATCAACAAAAACATATAAAAAAATGTGTACTCTGTGGTATTGGGTGAGATGTCCTGTAAGTATGGGTTGTATCCTCACTGACTTACAGGATAAAAAGGGAAAGGAGAGAACAAATGCAGACGAGCAGAAGGTCTGTCCCTGGCTGGAAAGGCTGACACGGAGCTACCCTGGCTTACGTTGTTATCAAATGAGAATGTCCACTTTCTCCATGGTGGTGGCACTTTGAATTTCCTAATTAGTTTCCTCTCCATATAAGTTTCATGAAAAGCTCATGCTTTACAGAGCCACTTTAAACAATTGATGAGTCAATAAGAATGACTTACACATCCAGTTTGTCTTTTGCATAGTTATCAGGAAACTCAAAGCTTAATATAATGCATAATAATTCTGTTGATCAAGGGTACAGGATTAGTATTTGCTAATTCTTCCTTTTACATGCTGTTTAATTTCTATTTTAAACAGCTTTATTTTATACAAATCTTTTATATGAGATGCTCTTCCATTTTAGAACTGGCTAGACAGAATAAATAAATAATGTGATACACTCTTATATCTGGATTGACTGAGCCTGGGCCTCTATTTAGGACGTGTGAAAATCCTACTAATTCAGAAAGGCTTTTGATTTCTTTCGCTTCTCTGTTGCCCCCGGTTAGATCACGGGTGTCGTATGTTTAGAAGTGTCTGTACAGCGATTGCCCTTTCTGGGTTTTGTTTTATCCTCACCTGAGGATATTTTTTCCAGGGCTTTCCAGAGAGAGTGGAAGGGAGAGAGAGGGAAGCATTGGTGTGAGACACATTGATTAGTTGCCTCCTGTACATGACCCGACTGGGGCTGTGGATCGAGCCTGCAACCAAGGTACAGAATTGAACCCAAGACCCTTCAGTCCTGGGGCCAACACTCTAACCACTGAGTGAAACCGGCTAGGGCAGTGATTGCCCTTTTTGACTTGCAGACTGTATGACTCCTATAACTTCCTTTTAAAGTCTATTAGAACTCTGAATACCTTTCATTTGGGTTGTTGATTATAAGTTAGGATGGTGTCTGTTAACAATTAATAGGGCTTTGCATAGAGAAGGTAAAAGAATCATTAGCACAGGTCAAAGCTACATTAGCAACCAGTGGATAGTTAAGTACTTATAGGACAACAACAGAGATCTCTTGGATTCCCTGGGAACCCTCCTAGGAATGGGGCTTGAGGTAGCAGAGCACATCATCTTAAAACTGGAGATTGAGATAAACAGGATTTTTGGGTCCTATAGGTAATAGCATTTTAAACATCTCATTCTAAACTTTATGGTTCTTTGTTATTAATGATACGGGAGGCTGGGGGAGTGGCATATAATTACATACACTGTTAGAAATTCGTAAGATGAACAGTATTTCAGGTAGACTTTTTTCAGTTCTATTTCATAAACTATTCTTGTTTTGATTACCTGATTCTTCAAGTAGCCTAAAGACATTTGCTTGTAGACTGACAAACTTCTTTTCTTAATCAGGTGACTAATAAGCACACTGAAGGAGTATGGCCGCTCAAATGCCAGAGTCTGACCAGATAAAGCAGGTAAGGTGTCAGAGTCAAGGAAAGCATTTTGCAGAAATTTAAGGCACTACTGGATGCAACTATGTTGGTCAGTGACCTCACAAAATAAGTGTTTATATTTCCTTTCCAAAGTTGGATATTAAATGAAGCATATTTATTTTTCCAATAATCCGGGAAAGGATATTCAATGAGAAAAACCTGACTGTATTTTGTAGCTCATACTACCTAGATCATAGTATACCTATTTAAGTTAGTAAAAGAACCTTGATTTCAAGTGTTACAGGATATTTTGCCTAAACCAAAACTTCAGTGAAGTTTTGAAACATTTTTGTTTTATAAACCAAATATTAAAGAACCTTCTGATTTCTTTATAGTTTAAAGAATTTCTTGGAACCTACAATAAACTTACAGAAACCTGCTTTTTGGACTGTGTTAAAGACTTCACAACAAGAGAAGTAAAGCCTGAAGAGGTATGAAAAGTGTTGCTCAGTAAAAATTCTCTAAGCTTGTGATCGGCAATTTAAATGGGATCCCCCTAAGCATTTTGCTTGTTCCTAGTTATTAAAGGAATTTTTGGCTACCTTTTATGTTCCGTTGCTTGGAAGAACTGAAGCAGCCAAGGACCCATAACATTGAGTTTAATGATGACAAATTTAATATGACAGTCACATTGAACCAAGGCAGTCTTCTTTAGAGAAGCTGCCTAGGGCTTGCTGAGTTATTGTTCCATTGCAAGGAGTCTTACTAATTAGCTTTCAGTCATGATGACCTAGCTAGAGAAACTTGACATGGCTTTTCTATTTGACCCTGAGAATTCAGGGTAACTTTGGAAAAACCAGAGCTTGAATTTGGTCGCTCGCTCATTTTGCACAGGTAGACTCTGAAAACCCAATACTATTAGAGGTTATAACTTTTAATATGCTCATCAAAACATTTATATATTGGCTTAAAGTGACATAACTTCTTCCAGTGGAAGATACTGATAAACATTCATGCCAAGAACTTAACACATAATCAGCAATGAATAAGTACTTGTTAAATAAATGACAAAGTTTGATAAATGCTAAGTGGAATATTCTTATTGGTAAAAAGTAAAAGGCTGAGAATTAACTTAATGATAAGAATGGAGTTTCTCATTAAAAAGAAACTTGCCTGGACGGGGGTGGCTCAGCAATTGAGCATCAACCTAGAATCCAGGAGATCGTGGTTCGATTCCTGGTCAGGGCACATGCCCGGGTTGCAGGCTTGATCCCCAGCCTATCAGTGACTCTCTCATCACTGATGTTTCTCTCCCTCTCCCTTCCTCTCTCTGAAATCAATAAAGATATATTAAAAAAAAAAAAAAAAAGAAACAAACAAACTTCCTACTGGGCCTCCTTTTTAATAATCAGAATAAGGGGATGGGAATGTGGACTTTCAGTTAATACTAAAACATACCTGCAAAAAATCTAGTCCAAATGGCAGGGACTTACCATTGTTTTTAGTGCCTACAAACTTGTAAGTATTCAGTATTTATTATATCTTGTATTAACAGTTGAAAGCTATGGTCACCTGCTACTTATTAATACCATTTAATTGTCAGCTATATTCAAAGTACCCACTGGTTGGTCTTTTAGAATATATGTACTTTTTTTAAAATTAATATTTCTGTGTTAGCTCTTCCAACTTCTCTTATTTTTTATTTCTAGACCACCTGTTCAGAACATTGCTTACAGAAATATTTGAAAATGACACAAAGAATATCCATGAGATTTCAGGAATATCATATTCAGCAGAATGAAGCCCTGGCAGCCAAAGCAGGACTCCTTGGCCAGCCACGATAGGAAGTCCTGATGGATGGACTTTCCCTGAAAGATTGCCAATAGCTTTGCACTGGAAATGAGGATTCATCTGATAGAATCCCCTGAACGCAGTAGCCACCATGTGAACCATCTGTCATGACTGTTTGGCAAATGGAAACCACTGGAGAAACAAAATTGCTATTTACCAGGATAATCAAAATCGAAGGTCTGATTGTTCAATGAAAATAGTAAGATGCAACATTTGTTGAGGCCCTTACGATTCGGGAGCTTAGTCACTTGATTAGAAAAATAAACCATTGTTTCTCCAATTGTGACTATTAATTTTAAAGCAAAATATGTGTTCAATCATGAATGAAATAGAAAATTTTTTTTATTTCTACAAGTAAAGTAAATGGAAATATCACTGAGCAGTTGTTTATGCTATATAGTAACAGTATTCTGACTGGACTGTGGATACGTTGAAATGTTTTTCAATCAGGATCATCCTCCAAGTGTTCCTGTTCATTCATGTCTGCCTCAAATTGCTGGTAAATACATAAAATAGTTACTTGCTAATCATTTCAATGCACGATCCTTTTCTTGCCTCCCTTGTGTCAGGGTGGGCATCACACATTCTTATTCTAGCTACATTTTCATATATCTTCAGGAAACAACCTATCTGAGATTAGCTTGGGAATGTTTAAGAATTGACTGTTATGCTCTAGTGGAGTGTGTGTTGTGTTCAAAAGCTGAGTCTATCATGAATGACTCCTGAGTCAGATCAACAAAACAGTGTCTTCTCAGCCATGACATGTGATCAGTGTACTAAAAAGTGAACCAAAGTTAGTGTCTTATGGCTAAATGAATCCTAAAATGAAATTCTAGTTGATGCATAGGCATACCAAGCAGTTTAATGAATGTCGGTGGACTAATACCTATAATAATTCGCTTACAAACAGATTTCATTTGATATCAGTCTCAAGTTGTACTTTAAAAAACACTAATTAGCCTCTATGTTTCGATTTACCAAAGTGATATCTATGCTTTATCAAACTAATGGAAAGTAGAAGTGTTCTACTTTGATAATTTACTGTTTTCTATGTTACATCTAATTTTTAAGTCATTAGGTCATTTAAATAACAATACTACTTAATTTAAAGGCCTCTGTTGACATTACAGTCGCTCAATAATTGTGATATCTTTGAAAGTATAAAGACAAATAAAATGTTAACAATGCTATCTTTAAATCGAAACGCTGAAACGTATAATTCTCAACAAAATATACAATAGGTTATAATCAAAGGAACGTGAAAGAATTAGCTTGTTTCACCTTACGTCAAGAAAGGCAATAAAACATTCAGAGATTTTACTGATGTAAAATTTTGGGCCATTCACACACCTACTTTGCTATTTCTGTGTATGCAAGCCCAGTACAGTTATTTATTCTGTCCATTTCACAAAGGTATTTAAATATGTGCTCACCTGGCAAATAAGGGGAATTTTGTGTAACAGCATCTCAAATACCTTGGGAGGGAGTGTGTGTTTAAAAACCTTCAGAAGTTCCCGTGGTTGCCCACACACTGAAAAGGCATTGCTGAGATGTTCAACCCCCATTCTGTGCTCTCCTGAAACAAATTGATAAGTTCAGAGCAAAATTTTAATGTTCTTCAAAATATACATTATACAAATTACCGAAAGAGCACCAAGCATTAAAACTTAAAGAGCATATCAAGATAGAGTCTATGTAAACAGTGTAAACTGGACACTGGCTGGCACACTGGAGCTGGACTGCAAATGCTGGGGCAGTGTCTCTTGAAACTGAAGCACTCTGGCTGACACATTTAGCTCGCTAAGTTATTTGACATACAGATGCCAGTCAATATATAAACATAAACTATCATAAATAACTGCTTACAAGAGAATGCTGACATTCTTACCTCTAGACAACCAAAGTTCTCCCATGCGTATCTCTTGCAGAAAAAGTTCTTGCAATTTTTCATTCCTCGCTGGATCCCACAACTAAGATTCACAAAACATTTAACAATGAGTAATGAATGTAAGGAATATAGTTACCAATCAAAATTATTTAGTTTTTATTTTAAAATGCACTTCTTGAACCCAGTTTCTAAGTCCAAAGTATGACAAATGCAGTGGTTCTTTACAATATTGAAACCAATTTCTTAAAATGCAGTTACAGTTTCAGGCCATAAAAAAAAAATACATGGCATGTTCAAGTTAGGTCAAGATGCTTGTAATAACTCACCCATACTTCGCTCAGCTCACTAAGTACACATATCTGAAATCCTACTGTAATTAACTATAACAAAGGTTGCTTTGTAATGTTGCAAAACTATTTTCTTCCCTGGCGTATTAACATTGCTTGTTGATTGGGAAACAGTATGTGGGGAGTTGGCAGTGCAGTTGGTGGTGTTGAGAAGGCTGCTGTGGTTTGCTGCAGCCTGGTTCATGAAGGTGACCACGGTCACAGGATGCCACATCACTGGTACCATGCCCAGGGCTGGTCTTTAAAGGGAGCATGAGCAACCCCTAGCCAAAAATAGCAACTCCACTGTCAAGTCACTTCAACTTCAGTCCATTATATCTGGAGGATTTCTGTGTTTGTTTCCCAAGAACTCTCTTTTTTTATTTTTTAAATCCTCACCTGAGGATATTTTTTCCATTGCTTTTCAGAGAGTGGAAGGGAGAGGGAAGGAGGGAGGGAGGGAGAGAGAGAGAGAGCGAGAGAGAGAAACATCAATGTGAGAGACATCGATTGGTTGCTGACGCTCTAACCATTCAGACAAACCAGCAAGTCAGCAAGAATTCCCTTTTTAAAATGGGATGAGCCTGGCTCTGACCAGGTAGCTCAGTTGGTCAGAGTGTCGTCCCGATACACCAAGGTTGCGGGTTCGATCCTGGATCAGGGCACATACAGGAATCAACCAATGAATGCATAAATAAGTGGAACAACAAATCAGTGTTTCTCTCTCAAATGAATGAATAAATAATAAATAAATAAATAAGTAAATAATAAAAATGGGATGAGCCTGGGGAAGGGGTCATATTTTAAGCTTTTATCAACAAATATGCTAATGATCAGTAACAACCAAAGGTTTTATTCAACAAATACTTAGTGAGCACTAAAGGCCAAGCCACTCTAGAAGAGTTGGAAGGGGAAGGAGACCAAGACCCCTGTGCCCATCCCCAAGGAACCCAGGGCAAGGGCAAGTATGCTTAAGATCAATAACACATTAACAATGAAGTCCAATGTCCTCTGGGCTTCAACATACATTACATTACATCTGATGGGGGAATCAAGGAAAGTTTCTCAGAAGTAATATTTGCACGGCCGGTGTGGCTCAACAGATGAGCATCGACCTAGGATCTAGGAGACTGAGGTTTGATTCTGCTCAGGGCACAGGCCCAGGTTGCCGGCTTGATCCCCAGTGGTGGGCGTGCGGGAGGCAGCAGATCAGTAACTCTCATCATTGATGTTTCTATCAATCTCTCCCTCTCTCTCTCTTACTGAAATCAATAAAAATATTTATTTTTTTAAAAAAAGATAGCATTTGAGATATGAATAATCTCAGTGACAGTCTGATGGGGAAAGAGTACAGGCAATGCAAATTTGCAGGGGGAAAAATCAAGTGATCTTCATTTAGATGGATTATATGAGGGTGAATATTGCAATGATGATTAATTACTAATTATTGACGGCCAGCCATAGACTAGGAACTTTACATATATTATTTCCAACCCTTAGGAAAATAGTGCTGTCAATATGGGGCACCCGTGGAAGGCCGTGGTGCCGGCGAAGGGGTCTTGTTCTGCCATCTGCCGAGCGGGGAGCTACTGCACAGAGCTACGTATTCAGGGCTGCCATTTAGGAGACTGTATCGGAGCAGCAGGGAGACAAGTCAGAAGTTACTCCACTAGTGAAGCAGTGTGGAAGCGATGGAAACAGAAAAGGAATGGGGTATGAGGTTAGAGCATAGAAAAATAAGAGCTGGGGACTGACTGAAGGATGAGGAGTCAGGGTCCCAGCAGGGAGGCTAGTGATGCCAGCAGCACCGTAAGGACACCGAGGAGGAGCGGTGGCAAGGGATGAGAGGGTGAATTTACTTCTCAGTACATTAAGATGAGATACCAATAGAGCACCTCGGCAACAGCCTGGCAAGCAGATGAAATTCGGACCCTGAGTCTAGAGCAGTACACCTGAGGTCACCTGTGGAGAAAGGAAGGAGCTTCCAGGGACATGAGGGGACAGTGCAGAATCTGAGGACAGTGTTCACAGACAAGCAGCTGATAGAGCTGTTAAAACTGCATTTTCTTGGGCTCCACCTTGACCTACTGAATCGACTTCCAGGAGCAGGGCTCAGGAATCTGCATTTTAACAAATTCCTCAGGTGATTCTTATAAAGTCTGAGAATCACTGTCTCCATAGCCCCTGGCCTACCCCTGACCCCTAAATCAGAACAGTCTGGCCCTCAGGTCAAATAATCTATATATTTTTAACAAATGCCCCAGGACAATCTAATGCGGATGGTCCATGGACCACACTTAGGGAAACTAAAAGGGCCTGAGGGTGAGTGGGAAGAGAGGCCCTAGAAGGAGTGGAGAGAGACATCTCTCTGTGCCTTAGTTTGTTCATCTATAAAATTAGAATAGAGTTGTGAGGATTACATAAAAGAACATTAAAAAAATCCTGCTTCTGCCTCTTCTTCCTCATTTGAAATAATTCAGATCTTCATTTTTTCTGGTCTGTACTGCCACTGACCAATTTTCCCGTCTTCTTCAACTTCCCTCCTCCACCCCATCCTCAAAAAAAAAAAAAAGCTTCCATTCTCTGAAATGAAGTCACCATCGCTGGTTATCCACAACAGAAAAATGTCCAATCTTTTTAGTTTGTCTCAAAGCCCTGCACAATATGACACCAAAGTACCACTCAGCTGTCTCTCTGGCCACACACTCCTTAAATATTGGAATTTCATGGTCTGTGCCCCTGCACAAGCTGCCCACAAAAAACAACAATAAAAAACAAATATTGACTGGGCACCTACAATGTACTAGACACTGGAGAGGCAAGTGGAGAGTAAAAAAACAGACAAGGTCTGCCTTCCTAGAGATAAGTCTAAAGATAGAAGCATTAATCCGTGTAACCAACTGTGTAACTGCCCCCATGGATAAGAGCGATGACAGAGAGGGATGTGGAGCTGAACCCGGCCCTGCCCAGCCAGAGGCCAGGGAAAGTGTCTCAACTCTCCCGTCCAGCTGTCCTGCTTCCGTAACTATATCAATTACACCTTTATTCTCTAAGTAACTGCATCCTGAAACCGCAGAAACCTGACTCCTGCCTCCCCGTGACCCTTTCATCCATCAGCATGAACTATGGATTCTTCCTGGACAATTCACCTCACATCTCTCCCCACCAGTTACCACCGACACCATGGCAGCCCAGGACTGTACCTCTCACCTGTACTGCTGCAGTAACAGCTTCTCCCTTCCCATCTAACCTAAAACGTTTTTTTCTTCCCTTCTTAAAAAAAAAAAAAAAAAAGCCTGCTCAGAAGCCTTCAGTAATTCCCCCACTGAATCTTAAATTTCTTAACCTCCTTACTGCACCCCCTACTGAGCTCTCCAACCTTACCTCCCACTAGTCCCCACTCTGACTCCTCTGTCAAACTGATTTACTGAATAGACCTGGTAGACCCCTCACTTTGCACCTTTAAGTAGGGGTGCAGTTCCCTCTGTCCTGAATGGTGTCTCCCCTGAAACCAGGACCCATCCTTCCAGGCTTGGTTCAATGCTGCCTTTCCTCCAAAGTCGTCTGGGAAGGGCTGCATGTTCCAAAAACAGCCACAGCAATATTCCCAGTACCACCTGCACTCCAGAACCTCGCCTCCCCTATCAAGAGATGGAGTCTATTTCCTCTTCCCTTAAAACTGAGCAGGCTTGCCCGGCCGGGCGTGGCTCAGCGGTTGAGCGTCAACCTAGGATCTAGGTGACCGGGGTTCGATTCCTGGTCAGGGCACGATCCCCAGTCGGGGGCCTACAGGAGGCAGCCAATCAATGACTCTCTCATCATTGATGTTTCTCTCTCTCTCTCTCTCTCTCTCCCCCTCTTCCTTCCTCTTTCTGAAATCAATAAAGATATATTAAAAAAACAAAAACAAAAAACTGAGCACGCTCAATGCAGCAGAAGTGGTGGGCAGGTATGCACACACACACTTGCTTGCCCCTTGGGGCCCAGCCATGGCGCTGTGAGGAAGACCATGCCACATGGAGAGAGGATGTGTGTGGCCAACAGTCCTGACTAAGTGGACTGCCAGCATCAACTGCCAGACCCGTGAGGAGTGTGCCTTCAGAAGACTGGCACTAGCCCAGAGTCAACCAGCCTGAAGCTGAGTGGAGCAGAAAGGTGCTATCCCCACCAGGCCCTGCTGAAATTGCAAGTGCAGAAGAGATACTGTTTTAAGCCTCGATGCTTAAAGCAGCAATAGGTAAGCAGAACATTTTCTGTGAAAATTCTACTCTGAAGATGATCCTCCCCCTCCTCTGAGCTCTTGGTTACTTTTCCCACCTTGCTAACCTCTGCCACGGCGGGACCCTGCCGCGCACTTGAGGAGGCTATCAAGTAGGCCTGGACTGATCCGCTGGACATGAAGGTTAAGACTGAACTCCTCCTGAGAAGTCAAAGAACCTAAGAACTCTCAGTAGCACTTTTTAAAAAAATTGATTGTGACAGAGAAAGACATGGATTTGTTGTCCCACTTCTTTAAGCAGTCATTGGTTAACTCCTGTATGTGCCCTGACCCGGCCTCTAACCCACAACCTTGGGGTAGGGGGACGATGCTCTAACCAACTGGGCCACCCGGCCAGGACTCTCAGTGGCACTTTTTAAAAATATACATCTATATATTTTTATTGGTTTCAGAAAGAGGGCGAGTGAGAGAAACATCAATGAGAGAGTCATTGATGGGCTGCCTGCTGCACGCCCCCGACTGGGGATCGAGCCCGCAGCCCGGGCATGTGCCCTGACCGGGACGCGAACCTGGGTCTCCTGGATCCCAGGTCGACGCTCAACCGCTGAGCCACCACCGGCGGGCCTCAGCTGGCCTTTTACAGCTGATGTGAGTAATTAAGTTGGGCCAAACAAGATTATGATGCTCGATATCTTTAAACACGACCAGTCACATTCCGTTTTGGAGAAAGAGCAGATGTTCTGCTTCTGAGCCAGGAGCCAGGCGCAGCAGGACCGGAGCGGCCCCGCCTCCTTCCCGCTGAGAGCCCTGCCCCTCGCCCTGGCGGGCCCAGCGGTCAGCGCG